ATTATCTGGATCACCATGTTATGGACATGGATCCTGTCATGTTAGTTGATTTTTTATTTTAAAATCATTTAATTCCAACTAGATACTGAAATGTTTGAATGAAATGAATCGAAGTAGTTTCATACTTTGTATAATGTGAGACTAAGGAAATTAGTATTGTCTTTATTTCAGCCATAGTTCAAGGGAAATAGCAGCCTCAATTTTAGGGTGATGGTAGTAGGCTTGGAAACGGAACATGTGTATGTGATCGTGGTTATTCTGGTAATATGTGTAGAAAATGTGCACCTGATTTTTATGATAAATCCAAGTCAAATGATTCGGTCGAATGCGAAAGTAGGTTTGTTGCATTGTAGAAAAATCGCTTTTGTTACGTAGAAATTGGGTGTTGACGCTTTAACGAACCATAACTTCTTTTTCTCTCATTGGTAGCATTTATACTCAACTACTGATGTTTGCTGGAAGTAATATTTATAATTTTGAATTTTATAGAATGTTTTGAAGCGTGTGCAGGAGGATGTACATCTGCTGGCCCAAAAGGATGTATAAAATGTCGAAGTGGGTGGACTCAGACCACCGATGAAGGATGTATAGGTTAGCTCAGTATAACTTCTTAATTTGTCAAATATGACCCATATTTCGAGATTTTGCCATTTTAACTTTCCTATTCAGATATCGATGAATGCGAAATCAAAACAAATTGTAATAGAGCGAACGAGAAGTGCGTCAACGAAGCTGGCTCATTCAGATGTGAATGTGCCGATGACTATAAAAGGCAAGGGGATGATTGTGTACTTGATGTAGAAGGTCAGTTTATAAGCATAGCGAATTAATATTGCAGACTAATTAGAAAATTTAGTGTACCATTGTAATTGAAGATATATGTTATCAGTTCATGAATTTTGGGAAATCCATGATTGCTGATGTGAGTTAAAGAATCTGACCATGTGTCATGAACCTACTTAGTTCATTGAACTAATTGACTTCATTGACCATACTATTCGATCCATTTGATATTTTGAATATTACATGCTAACAGTATCCAGTGTCCATGCGTTCTGTTCTCAAACTTCTGACATTGAATCTTGTTGTTCAAGCATAGTATGACATAACTGTTTACTATAATAAATTAGCACAAATATCGTATGAGGCGTATACAATAATGATTGAATCAATAAAATTATTCTAGAATTTATAAATACCGATTGATAAATGTATGCGATACAGTTACCAATTAGTTTTTCGTCAGAATTCAGAAATAAAATTTGTCACATAAGAATAGTGCGAAGACGATAGTTATTGATTCAATAGGTAACATACTAGAAACAGATTGAGATAGAATACTGAAAAATACATTTACATGAACAGTAGTGATAACATTCAAATGCTAAGTTCAACTATATTTGTAACTTCTACCAAATAAGTGGTTACTGTATTGAATGTACGAAGGATTACGTAGTGCGTGGTCATGTGCAAGTACAAGCTGTGATATTTAAGAATGTTATGATATTCCGCTGTTTCATTGTTAGCTTCAAGACAAGATGTTTAGTGATAGAGTAAATGAAGCGTCCTCAAACTGTCAATACAGAAAGTAATCAGCTCTTATGGATCATAATATTATCGTCATATCTTTTTTATTGCGACGATAGTGCCGACTAGTAGAATTCCTTTTTTAATTGGAGATGTAAATGCTAAACAGCTTATTTTCATAAACGTTGTACCGTCGTGCCATGCTTGGACTTTGGCCTCTAACAGCGATTTGAACAGCATTTAACTTCATTTCTTAAGGAAAACCCTAGATTTCTAGAATTTTGTGAATTGCTATGAAATTTTATTACATTAGGTGTTAGGAGGCAAAAACTCATCGGATGATTATTTTTGCCTCACTTTTTTATACACAGAATCAAACAATAGATTTTTACATCGTAAATAATATATTTAGCAATGCCCTTTCGGTTTGATTATCTAAAAGAGTTTGCAGCAAAGCCGTACCGGATGTTTATACCGCCAGACACGATGCTGAAGAGTATTTCAATGCTTAGTTTAACTGCCATCATTGCATTTGTGGTTTGGCAACGTTCGATTCTCCTAATTTTTCTAACTACGATAGCTGTGGCGTTGATTATTTTCATAGATATGAACGTTAATCCGGAAACAATACCAGATGAAGCGAAGAAGTATCTTGGTTTATAGAAACATATCCGCATATTGCACTTCATTATGCAGATTGTATATTTATATAGTGATACACTCAAATGCGTAATAGTTTCAGTTGGAATTTAACTTATTCATTTTGGTTTTCTCTTATTGTGATGGGACCATTGAAACTTGATAATTCTGTTATGATACTATAAATTTTCCTCAAATATTATGTCGCTTGCTGAATACGAATTTTGTTGTTTCGTTTTCTTTTCATTTTTAGAGCAAAATGGAATTGATGCCAAATTGGAATTTTGTTGAATTCAGAGTAGTTTTTTTTTCAACGTTGTTGGATACGCTCTGAAAATTGGAACAATTGTTTTGTCTTTGTTTTGAAGTCATTTGTAATGCAATATTACGTTTATGAATTGAAATGTAGTTTATTTGACTCGTTAAGAACCAGCTTATGTTTGAATGATTTTTTTTAATCCAACCTTAATCTTGGTTGGACCATGTCAATATGCTTACTGCATTATTAACCAATATTAGAAAATCTTGTAAATTTTTTTCATCTAAGTTATCTTGTAACACCATAAGTAGACAGTCAATCACCCATATCACTTACCTATTTCCTCAATTAATCAACCATTGAACTGACATCACCCTGCGGCTCTTCTATCGTACCCTCAGACATCGCACGAATCGCTTTAAAAATCTGGACAGTAGAACTAAAGATCAATACAGC